CTCCCGGGGGGGGGGTGACACGGGTGAGCGTGGGGACAGGGCTCTTGTCTGCGCTGGAGGCGAGTCTGGAGTGAAATGGGTCCAGCTGGGGGAAGGGAAAGAAGTTAGAATGAGATGATGTTCCAGATCTTTCTGGTGTTTTGAGAATGGAAAAAGCAGCCCTTGGTTCTGTAAGTTCATTGTGATGGGGTTTTTTTGTGGAAAAACAGCATCAGAGACCTCTGGAGAGCCCTGTGTGTCCTGGCACAGCCCTCACTGCTTCGGAGGGGCTGGGATTTCCAGAGCAGCCCAGTGCAGGGAGAGCACCTGGCCCACAGTGACCCCACAGGGGCAGGGCCCTGTGTCCTTGTCCCACTCTCATGCCCTGCAGACCATCTCCCTTCCCGGTGCCAGGGGAAGCCCCCCTATGGAAAACCAACTCCACCCTAAACCACAGCCGAGAGGGCCAGGTGAGGAAACCCCTTCAGCCCCAGAAATGGGATCAGAAGAGCAACCACTGCTGCTGCCTGGGATGCCACAGTGGGGACAGCCATGTCGTGCCTGGAGACTGAGGGATGGTTTTCCCTGGATCCTGTGCCTCAGATATTGCATCAGCCAATGGAGACAACAGCCCTCAGCCCCCAGCAGCCCTGACTGCCCTGGGCCACCATCATGGGCACTCTCCCCTCCACACTCTGGGTCTCCTGTGTGCTGGAGGCTTTGAGCAGCTGCTCAGGAGGACAGAGGACTTTCATCTGCTGCTCCCCTGACCCACAGGGGCTGTAGGAACCCGGGGATACAGTCAGCTCCTCTGGACAACCAGGTGCTTCAGGGCAGAGCTGAGCTGGGGCAAACCTGGACGGGTGTTCGAATGGATCCTGCTCTTCCCCTGAAGCCCCAGCACAAAGCACCTGCCCCAGCTGCCCTCTCCTCCTGGCAAGGGAAGCAGAAGGAAGGGCAAATTTTGCTCATCTCATTAGGTGTGTGCCTGGGTGATGTTTGCAGGGACAGCTGTAGCCAAGCTGTGTGTGCTGGCTCCGTCTGTCACATCCCCGGACGGGGCTGCAGCTGCGCCGTGTTCTGTACCTGTGACTGCTGTCTGGGGAGGAAAAGCCATTTCACCTGTTGCCATTTGTTGGAAGAAAATGAGCTGCAGGTGTTTAGCCCTTCACCACCCCCCATTGTACAGAGGCACACCCGCCAGACACGCTGGCTCCAGCCCTCAGCGAGGCTTTACCACCCCTGTGCGAAGCAGACACCCCGGGACCACCCTCACCTGCATTTTGCTGCTTCAGCAGAGGCTGAACACAGCTTGCACACACCCCCTCTCAGGCCATGAGGCATCAGACCTGCCTATTTTTAACCCAGCTTGGCACATTTGCACTGGGGTCACCTCTTGCCCTGCTCTGGGTGAGGGAAGCGCTGCTGGAGCCCCAGCACAGTGATGGGCACGGGTGGAGACTGGGACAGGGCTCCAGCAAGGCTGTGCCTGGCACAGATCACTCCTCTGGGACAGGCACCAGGCATTGCTTTGGGTGCATTTCGATGTTGCAGCTGTTCCACAGCCTCCCTGCAGCACAGCACCGCTGCCTCTCTGGCAGGGCTGAGGCTCCCACCTGCCCTCCCCTGCCCTGCCTCCTGCACAGAGCCGTGGGGAGAAGGCATCCAAAGGCTCTCGTCCTGCCAGAGCCCCTGCATGGCAAACACTTGCCAACCCCAGCTCCATTCCGTGTCCTTGCACAGCCAGAGCTGGCTGATCCCAAAGTCCCAGCCAGGTGATTGTCTGCAACCCTGGCAAAGCTGTTCCTGCCACAAGCTGTCCTGCCACAGCATTTCATGGCAGTGATGCAAAACAACCCCAAACCTGCTGTGCCCAGAGAGGGGCTCTGCAGGTGGGGGCTGAAGGGCTGTGGAGCGCTGCCCTGCACCCCCACTGCATCCCTGTCCTGCATCCCCACGGATCCCGAGCCCCTGCCCTGCTTGGCCGGGGGGAGCGGGGCGGGGGCGGCCTGGGGAGGCGGACCCCGCGGCTGGCAGGGCCGGGAGCCGGCGGAGGGGGCTCTACAAGGCTGGCGGGCATTGGGCGAGGGGCAAGTGCTGCTGGAGAGCTCCTCCAATGGCTCCGCTCTTTGCTGGAGCCCAGAACTGCGGGGGCAGGAGTTGGGCCCGTGGAGAGGGTCCAGCATCTGCGTCGGAAGCTCCTGCACCTCCAGCGTTTCCCTCTGCACCTCCTGCACCTCGCTCTGCACCTCCTCCACCTCCTGCTGCAGCTCCAGCATCTTCTGCACCTCCAGCATCTTGGTTTCTGCATCCGTTGCAGCTGCAGCATCTCGGTCAGGTCGTGGGTCCGGACTGGCTGGGAGTGGGGGGTCCTGCAGCCCCCCGGGGTTACTGGTCTGCCCAGGGAAGGCAGCAGTGGGACACAGGGGAGCCTGTCCCTATGGAAGCTCTGCCAGCCTGAGCCTGGGGAGGCTGCTGGGCCCCCCAGATGTCAGGAGCTCTTTCCAGTCCATATCATGGATCTGCAGGGGAGGGGGCTGGCAGCCAGCCTTGCTCATCCCAGTGTCCTCATTTTACAATGCAAAGAGGTTTTCTTCTTCTTTTAGCATAATACTGTAAAAAAAAGGGCCTGGTCCTCCTGATTCTGCATAACCCCATCCAAACACAAACCCTCTCTGAAAGGTGTGGGACTCCTGC